AAGAAGAGGAGTTCGGCATTCACGAACAGAGGAGCAAGCGGATCGTGTCGCAGGTAGCCGAATCGCGACAGATTCGGTGAGCAGTGAAAGCTTTGATCGACTGGATTCGCACCGCAGGTTGTGCGGTTTGGCGAGAAGGAGGAACAGTCATCGAGCGAGGGCCGAAAATTTGCGACAAGGCTGCCAACCGAGGATTTGGGTCTTGTGAGCAGCTCGACCAGAGGGAAGATGTGGAGATCGCGTAGAGAAGGGTTCGGGGAGTTCCCTGTTCGAGAGTTCGCGAAGCAGGAGGACCTGAGCAGTTTGGCGAGGCGCGACGGCTCTGGAGAGGCAGTTATTCTCATGTGAGACGCAGAGGAGTGCCTGCGGAAAGGAGGCGCGAGCACATAACAGGAAGTTTTCTCCGGTGAACATGTGGGATCTCTGCCAGAAGGGATCGAAGCTCTCCGTTTCAGTTGACGAAGGCAGCGGAGTTCACTTGGAGAAGGTAAGAAATTTGGTGAGAATTTCTTGGATAAAAAGGCGTTATAAGGCAAGTTTAGGCTTAAAACTTTTGGTTGTTATACAATAGTACAACATTTTGGTGATTTCAGTCTAGTTCTTGGAAGGGCAGCAGGTAGAATTCATTGGAAGAAATCCTAGGCACGACAATGAGTTCCGTCAAATTCGACATTGAGAAATTCAATGACTTCGGCCTATGGAGAGTAAAGATGAGAGCTCTATTGGTTCAACAGGGTGTTGCAGAAGCCTTGCAAGGGTCGGCGGCATTGCCGACCGACATGACCGAGAAGGAGAAGATCGACACGCTGGACAAGGTTCACAGTTTGATAATCCTGAGCCTGGGCGATAAAGTTCTGAGGGAGGTGTCGAGGGAGACAACGGCTCAAGCACTTTGGGCCAAACTTGAGGTACTCTACCTGAGAAAGTCTCTGGCTAATAGACTCTTTCTGAAGCAGCGCCTATACTCCTTCAAAATGCATGAAGACAAATCTATCTCAAAGCAGATCGTCGAGTTCAACAAGATCATCAACGACCTCGAGAACATCGACGTCAAGATGGACGATGAGGACAAAGCACTGCTGTTGCTAAACTCTATTCCTAAGAGCTACGAGCATTTCAAGGATGCGATGCTCTATGGAAGGGTGCAAACTATTACTCTGGAGGAGGTTCAATCTCTGATTAGAGCCAAAGAACTTCAGAGGAAGCATGATA